CCCCTGCTGCCCCCCGATCCCCGGGGATCATTGATCGATAGTCGGAGATTGGGGATCGCCTGCCGGCCACCGATCACCGGGGATCACTGATCGATAGTCGGAGATTGGGGATCGCCAGCCGGCCACCGATCACCGGGGATCACTGATCGATAGTCGGAGATTGGGGATCGCCAGCCCAGTCGCCAATCACCGGGGATCACTGATCGATAGTCGGAGATTGGGGATCGCCTGCCGGCCACCGATCACCGGGGATCACTGATCGATAGTCGGAGATTGGGGATCGCCAGCTGGCCACCGATCACCGGGGATCACTGATCGATAGTCGGAGATTGGGGATCGCCAGCCCAGTCGCCGATCACCGGGGATCACTGATCGATAGTCGGAGATTGGGGATCGCCAGCGCCGGCCACCGATCACCGGGGATCACTGATCGATAGTTGGAGATTGGGGATCGCCCACTGGCCACCGATCACCGGGGATCACTGATCGATAGTTGGAGATTGGGGATCGCCCACTGGCCACCGATCACCGGGGATCACTGATCAATAGTCGGAGATTGGGGATCGCCTGCCGGCCACCGATCACCGGGGATCACTGATCGATAGTCGGAGATTGGGGATCGCCTGCCGGCCACCGATCACCGGGGATCACTGATCGATAGTCGGAGATTGGGGATCGCCTGCCGGCCACCGATCACCGGGGATCACTGATCGATAGTCGGAGATTGGGGATCGCCCGCTGGCCACCGATCACCGGGGATCACTAGTCAATCGCTATCAACCAGATACATTGGGAGTTGGCTCTCTGGCCACCAGTCATCGCTTTGGTCGGGATGTACCAAATATCTGCCCGGGATGTACAGTCCAGTGGTAATGTCGGGGAGCCAGAATCGATAGCTGGCGTTTGGTCACTCGTAGCTGGCTGGCGGAGAGCCGCAGCTAAGGGCCAGTGATCAATACATGGCTACTGACCCCTCCGATTGGCCATTAGTTCTCAATAGTTCATCAACGCCCAACAACGGTAACCCATTCAACTTCTCATTGGCCGGGGCACGTGATTGGCCAGGAGATTCCCATCGTGCGTGCCGGATGGTGACTGATCATTTAGACGCCATTGAGAATTGTCCATCGTTAGCCGATTATTGGCCATCGACGGGAGGGGGCCGTCACCAACCCAACGCAACCGCTGCCTCTGAGGTCAACTTACCACAGCGTCTTCTGGTACCACCAGAATGGGGATCTTGACATAGTTATTAGCTGACGAGCTCCGGGCCGTAAACGTGGCGATGCTGGGGAAAGGTGGGGGAGGGGGAAAATACACATAGGGTGTTTGGGTTAGAGGATCGCACCTGAGCCGGTGTTACGCAGAACATAACAGCTGCCTAAAACCCCATTCAATATTACAGGTCATAATCGGGGGAATCGTTATTGGAGCTCGTTGAAGTTGAGATGGAAAACCCTCAAATTCAGAACAAACTAAAGGTGATGTTTTCCATATACAATTTTTGGGAATTCCCCCTTTTTTGAGCTGGACCTTTTTTTTGTGAGGCAGTTTATACAATTTTGAAATTGTGTTGACATTTTTAAAATTGCAATTTTCACAGTATTGCTCGGTAAAATCCGAGCGTCATCAAAAATCGCGGCTGAAATTTCAAATTTGAATAAAATGTTTTGGAGGAAAAGTCACCAAAACATTGTGAGGAAAAGTCACCAAATGTCGTGGGGAAAAGTTGCCCAAGTTACAGGTTTTGGCAATCGGAACTTTTGTGGTTTTTATACGCAGTCGTGGTGGAAATATTCTGAATGTCATCAACGATTTCAGCTGGCCTTTCGCCGAAGGTGTTTGCTGAAACATCGTTGAAAATGGGGGTTGGTGTTTTTGGAATTCAGTCGAAGAACTCGAGTTGAAATGTCTGGGTCGGCATTCAAAGTTGTATTTTATTTTACTTGATTTTTTCAATTTGTTTTCATTTTGCCAAATGTTCCCGCTGGAAATTGTTGGAGTGTCATGAAGATTTCTCCTTGGAACGGGTTGGAAATTTCTCAGCGATTCAAATGCCACAAAAAATGTTACAAATTTGGTTTGAAAAGCATGGAGTGAAATATTGGGGTCTCCTCATGTAACTGATTTAGAACAATGATCCAAAGTTTTGAGCGGATTTTTGTTGAATTCCCCAAAAGTTTAAGTTGAAAATTTGAATTTGGTGGAACATTTTAACTGAAATTGGAAAAAATCTGCCTTGAAAAAAAGGGGAAATTTGAAGTAACCCCACCTCTCCAAAAAGCAGAGAGACTGTCTCAGTTTCCCTCCCGCTCATCCACCCCAAGCGACAGAATGGATGGCGAATTTGCGACCCTGAAACGGCATCACACTTTTGTCCGGGACTTTTTCCAAATTGTGCTGAAAATGTTTGTGGCGACATTGTTGGGAATTTCGTCCACGAATTCAAACTTCAGCCGATCTTGGAGCTGCGCACGTCTACATCCCGCCCCTCAAAAAATCGACCTTGATTTGGGGAAACATTTTGACTCAACCCCCCAAAAGCTCCTTCTGATTTTGGTTACATTGGCACCAAGTATGTGAATTTTTTAAAAAAATTCTCTAATTGATCCAATTTCACCTCAAATTTCTTAGACGAGTCGAATTTCTCTCCCCTGGTGTATGTTGCAAATTTACCAACCTCCCCCCACAAAAACGTCTCCAAGTGTTTTATTTTGGCTTCTGCGGATGGGGAGAATTTCTCCACCCCCTTCGGGCACACCCTAGCCCCACGCTGGGCCATGGGGGGCCCGGGCCAGGCACCCACCTGGAGGAGAAGCCGGTGTGGCTGGGGGGGGGGGGGAAAGTCCCCGCAAGGGACA